GAGCGCAACGTGGACTTGCCAAAGTCTTGCATGTAGAGTGCGACCGGGTCTTGAACAACGAATATGCCAAGGCCGTCATTAAGTCAGAAGGCGCGGAGCTCCGTCTACAAGCGCGTGGTCAGCACGCCACTACCTCCGAAGCAAGAAGCGTTTTTCCTTTTTTTTTCCAACGCGCGCTCACGTCATGGAAGAGGGGTTCAAGAAGCACAGCCAACTTCTTGCCCGCACGCCTACTGCACGAAGCCGCGTTCGTGAGCAACGCGCCCACTTGTTACAAAGGCATATCGTCTTACCAAGCTCTCTACGGGCGACGGCCTGCGTGCCTCCTGGGCCTTCCAACCACTGACCACGAGCAGGGTCGAGAAACTTCAGATCACAACCGTGAGCAGCGGTTCGCGGAGATCATCGTTGGGGTCACCACGCAGGCCATTGCAGTAGCTAAAACCAACCTTGCCTCACGCACGAAGACTACACCACCTGGCCAACGCGCGTGCGTTCCAGGAGATCTCGTGGACCACCGCCGGCCGACCGCAACAATGGGCGACTGGCGAAGCTGGAACGGCCCATGCCGAGTCGTGAGGAATGGCCCCAGACAGGGCCGAGTTTCGGCGATGGTCGGGGGCGGAGGCGTCTTGGTTCAGCACCCAGACCTGCAACGCACACTAAATGTGGAAGCATTCATCGCCCGCGAGATCAACGCCGATCAGGACTACGCGCGGGTTAAAACTTGCCATGACATTTGGCTACTCGCCAACGAAGCAGGGAGATCTTTGGCAGACTGCCGCGAGTAAGCGATCGCCTCAGGCCCAATGGCCTTGCAGCGCCTCATCAGGAACTACTTTTGGATTGAAAGCGTAGTCACGGTGAGACTAGCCAAATGCAGCCCATGTCCCCTTGCAGCCACCTGCGCTAGAAGTTGTGCGTTGGCCGACCACGATAGCAGCGTTACCCTGGAGTTCCATTGCTACGAACCTTCTGGCACAGCGTTGAACCCACACGACATCATTGACATGTCATGCGCACGGGTGGTCTAATGCCTCAAGTCTTAACGACGTCGGGCACCGCCGAGGATTTATCTGAGTTCTAAGAGCTGGCGGACACGCCGCCACCACCGAGCGGCCACGCTGAATGGGGCCCCCGAGCGCAACGATGGCCCCCTACCCACCATCTACGAAGAGGCTGAAGACGACCTCGAGGGACGCCTCATGGAGGCCTGGCGTACCGAACGGTTGAAAAGGAAAATGATTGTTGGAGGCCGCTCCATGTGGGTAAGGCATTCTCGGTGCCAACCCAGATGATCGCGGAAAGCTGCACGCTGGCGATTGCCGCCAGCGAAGAGCAGGGCCACGTGCCAACGCGGTGCAGCCTACAGCCCGACACCGAGGTAACCTATCAGGTTCTCTATATGCTCAGTTAGCCATGACGGCACCTATGGATTAGGCTCTGACGAGCAGGGACAATATGTTGAACTCTGTTTCACAGCAGACATGTCCAAGGCCGTACTGACAGAACATCAACAGCGACTACTAGACGATAGCTGCGTCAATACGATGCGAGTTTATGTGGCAGCGGCCCCAAAGCGGGTTGCAGTCGTCGAAGAGGACGACCCCTTCGCGAACGTCGAGATCCAAGCGAGCCCGGCTAAGATGTCCAAAGCATTGCACACGGAGCCCAAGACCAGGTTCGACAACAAATTCTCCAAGTTGAAAGAGATCAAGAACGCGCCGCGCAGCCAGGTGATCGAACTAGCGGCTACTCGCCAGCTCGGCCGCGCGCAAGAAGCAACGGATCATCGCATCCATAGTCATCGGCAGCCTTCTCGAAGGGGCTCCTATATCACGAGGTGGCCGAGGCAACCAGCGAGAAATAGAGGATTGTGCGTGCATCGCCTTGCACCAGGTCCACCTACCGCCCCGAGGTCACTGCCAGGCTTCGCGTCCCGCGACGAATCGAAGCACTGCCTGCCGCGCCTTGAACCTGGCACTGGGACCAGAGACGCCCCGCGGGTTTTCTCGCTGACGCTTCGCACGACCATTCGAGGATTCGGACTGCGACCCACATCGTGCGATGAGGAGTTCGAGACCAGCCAGAACCGTCTGACGGCTAGACACGTCGAAGACAGACATGGCCCGCACTGAGGACATGATCAACAAGTACGTCGATGTCTAGAGAACACTTTCGGCGCATGCGAACTCCACAAACGGGCGCGCGCAAAGTATGCCTGGAGCTATGCCAAACTCGAAGGTAACTGCGCCACCCTCGACCAGGGCGAATACGTCCGACATCTTCGCCCCATGCAGCGCCCCGGACTCACGGGTGCTGAAGCTGAAGAATAGGCGGCAAAGATTGTGGCTGACATGTTCAGAAGTTTTCGCGATGCTTTGGCTTACGCCTCAATCGCCAAAGCATGGTGGATGGTGCTCGTCGCATCTCTACCACGCGCCCATAAAACGACCAACGTACAGGGGCGACGATTTAGTGCCACCACCAGGAATTTGCAATGAGACCCACGGAAAATCACACACCAAGCTATGACCCCAGCAGGAGAACGGAACCTGCATAGCGACTCCGGCTGCCGACGCCTCAACGGCGACGCCGACGACGAGGCGAAAGGTGCACGGCACCAGAGGTGCCAACCTATTCATGCGTGGACACGCGCAAGGCGGGAAGCTTGTCGTACACCTGGTAGACGCGCACTGCAAACCCCATCGACTACAAGCGCGCTCCAGCTATGCACCGGGAGCCCTAGCAACATCCCGCAACTTGGAAGACTGCTACCTGGCTATCGCGACAGCACACGAGCTTCACGCTGGACCATTCACCCCGACACAGCACATACATTTATTGAAAATAGATGGCGCATGCATTAATGTCACGCTGACCATCGGTGCTCAGTCCGTCTTCAAATCTCCATCCAGCAACGAGCTAAATAATTCTACCGAAGGTACATTGCTAGGCCACATCAGCTGGCTTAGACAAATCATGGGCTGGAGTATCGTGCATAGTGCACCATGGTGTGGCACTTAGTATGACCGCCGCGGGCGTACCAGAGGAAATACCGATCGTGAGTTATGCCTACAGGCGATGTCAGGCATTCCGTTCCTCAAGCGCGACCTGAAGAAATTTGCGCCGTATTGGGCGAAGCAGGCTTCAACTACTGTGCCTGGCCCTGCGAGAGCTGGCGTTTGAGGTTTTGTTTTGGATAGCATGGCCACATGCCGTCTTCGCCTGGTCACGGGCCCGCCCGAGTTTCCAGGGCCAGGTCGGGCGTCTGGACCTCCAGGCGCCTGACCTCTGCGAGGCAATTCGCCTCCACGCGTACATATTTCGTTTCATTTCGGGCGGCTTGACAAACGAGCACACAGTCTAAAGACTATACGCGTTGCGGGGTTGTCCACCGCGCGGCCACTGCTAGCGCGGTTTCAAGCGAGTTGATGCACCGAGCAGACGTGCCACTCGTCCCCTCCCTCATCCGACTTGGAACGGGTCAGCGGCGAGCAAAGCGACCTATCCGCCGCCGCTGTGGCTCAAAGCGGCGCGCTGCATTATTTGCCTAAACGATTTTTCGTGTACCGTTGCGCGGGGCGAACGTACATCGCACTTCGATCATGCACCCTCTCACATATGCTGCCTCGTGTCCCTTCTCGCCATCCATGGTCTACTCTACGTCACAGCTGAGACATGGGGAACGTTTACGACGTTTTAGGTATTGCGGTATACCATGCCACTTTCGATTGATCCCTCCACTGGAACCATGCGAACCGCCATGGGCCATTGGAATGGCCAGGCGGGCCTGGGAAATCTTGGCCTTGGGCCGCTTAAGCGGCGCCAAGGCTCTGCACAGGGAGTCCGACGGGGACCTGATGACACTACATCCAGTGCTTGCGGCACGGTGGCGGGTTTTATATTTTGAAGGCGTCGGCAACCTTGGACAGTTCGATGGAGCTCGTCCTGTCTGTTCGATCCCACCCAGGGGAGGCCCGCAGGCGTCTTCTGAGGACAGCCGTTCAAGCGTGATCACTTCGCTACCCCCACGCTTCCATTATTCATAGGGCTCACGTTGCACCGCCGACACCCTGGGGTGCTCTGGTTCTTTGCGAATGGCAATCGGGAGTCTCTCAGAATTCTTGACACGTCGCGGGCCCCCACAAGCCCATCCAGAAATGATATAATGCCGAATTGTTTTAATCAGGGAAGGGCAACCAGATGCAGTGCAGTAGTGTACCACATGCGTTTCTGAGGGGGTTTTAGAAGCAGGAGGAAACAAAATAAGAGGGCGGGGAGGAACGAGGATGAACAGGAAGAGGCGTATTGGACGTATTCGTTGCCACTTTTTGGAGGCAGTTTTGCGGCTTCTTGGGCCTGTGGGGGGATCAGTCTGGAGCATGTGAGTTTTTCTTTGCGGTTTTTGGGGGGTTCGTGGGGCAACCTTGCTGTTTGGGGGCCGCCCTGAGCCGTGTTCTGCCTTTCTTCGAGCCCTCTTGGTGTCTTCTTGGGCGGTCTTGGGTGCACCTTCCGCCGTCCTGGGGCCGCCTTCGGTCGTCTTGGGCTCTCTTGGGCGCCTCTTGGGCCGTCTTGGGATGCCTGAGGGCTTCTCGGGCCGCCTTGGACGCTGTTAAGGCCACGCAGGCGAATGTGCAGCACGTTCCCCAAAGTAATTGGGACGATGTTTCTGCCTCGGGGCCTCCAACAGGGGGGGGTCAGGGAGCCATTTCGGGACGTTTAGCTGGTTTCGAACGTGGTCTGGAGGCTCTCTTGGGGAGTGTTCGGGCCATCTAGAGAGGCGTGGAAGCCATCTGGGGCCGTCTTGGAGCGGTTTGGGGCCTCCTGGGGACCGCCGGAAGCAATCCGGGGGCATTTCTGCGGCTGCTGTGCCTGGCTGGCCTTTTTCGCCTTCCCGCCCCCCTCCCCCTCCAACCGACCAGGCCAGGCTCCAGGGGGAGGGGTTTGGGGACGGGCAACAGTCTCACACGCCGAAGAGACCCCAAGGGATCGGCGAGTTCCTCTGGCTCGACACGTGTCGTGTCATGTTCGTCGGCGTGGTCCACAGCGCCTTGCTGCATGCGTGCGCCGTCCACAAAAAGACGCTGCAGGAGACCCCAGACATGCTCGAGGAGATCCGGAGACGGCCTGCGTCACGAGGCACCGAGAGAGGGGCCCGATGGGCGCACGAGGCGGTCGTTGTCCACGTGGCCCTAATACCGTTAAGTCGGGCCTGTCCCTCTACAGGGGGACTATTCAGAAATAGTCAAAACAATAGTCTGGGGACGATGTGCTGGGCATCTTGTTGGCTATGTTGGGGTATGTTTTGGGTATGTGTTATTTTTCGCCCAAAATCCCCCTGTGGGGGGACAGGCCCGACCTAACAATACCGTTGTTCTACATTGCAGATAGTACGAAGGTAGGGTGGCGTGGGCGGCACGAGGATCAATAGGAATTGCATTGAATCGTTTCGCTCATTCCGCCGGCCCATATTGCATCAGTGTTGCTACATGTTGGCATGCTCGTGGTGAGCGAGGAGGAACAGGAGGAGGAGGAGGAGGAGGAGGAATAGGAGGAGTAGGAGGAGAAATAGGGGAGGATAAGGATGAGGAGGAGGCCTCTCGATGACTTCTTGGGGCATTTGTGGGGTCTCTTGGGAGGGCCCTCGGAGGCTTCTTGGGGGCCTCTTGGGGGCCTTCTGGGGCGAATTGTGCAGAGAGTCCGGTGCTGGGCGAAAAGATTGTGCCAAGGTCCGCGATGCTCGACATCAGGAATGTTAGGATTGGTGCAGAAAGCCGTGGGCAAGAGGAGAACGAGGAGGAGGAACGAGGGGTATTTGAGGAGGAGAACAACGGGGTGTTGGGGGTCAATGGGGGCATCTCTGAAAGCTCATGGATGCGTCTTGCTGTCTCGTCTGAGAGCACTTGGGACCTTCTTGGGGGGAGTATAGTTGTGACCCTCTTGGGAGCCCTTGGAGTGTTTCTTAGGAGGCCTTGGGAGCCGCTTGGGAGTCTTTTGGAGTTTCCTGGAGGCTTCGTGGAGCCCCTATGGGCGCCTCTTCGAGAGCTCTTGGGGCCTTTGGGGATCTCCTGGGAGAGTCCGGCTCGAAATGTCCAGAGCTCTCGGGAGTTTCTTGGGAGCTCTTCGGGGCCTCTTGGGAGGCTTTCCGCGGCCCTCTTGGGCTGCTTTGAGGCCCTCTTGGAGGTCTCTTGGGCTGTCTTGGATCGATTTTGGAGGCTGGGCTCGAGATTTCCGTTCGGGTTCCCGTCTGGGCTCCCTCTTGGGGCAGTCCCGGGGGCCATCTTGGGCTGTCTTGGAGGCCTGTTGGGCCGTCTTGGGACACTCTTGAAGCCTTCTTGGGACGACTGTGGCCGACGTTGAAGGCCTCTTGGGCTGTCCTGGAGCGTCGGGAAGCTGAACAGGTGAGAACGCCCAAATCCTTCAAAAACCTAGTGGAAATCAATGATTTGTGTGCCCTGGGGCGCTGTGGAGACGCCTCTTGGAGACGTCTATAGGCGTCTTCGACGCGTCTTGCGGCCGCGCGGGGGCGATCTTGGGCGTCTCGGACCGAGCGGTCGGCGACTCGGAGCCCTCTTGGACCATCTTGGGGGCATCTTGGGGCCGTCTTGGAGCGCTCTGAGGGTGCGGCCCCGGGGAGTTCCAGCATCCTTGGGCAGACCCTGCCGGGAGTCTGCCGGGACCTTGCCGGGAGTCTGCCAGAACCTTGCCGGGGTATTTTTCGTCAGGGAGCCCCGAGGGGCCGCCCCGCGCGCGCGAACTAAAAAAAGAGTGGACAAGTGATTGGAGATCTTAACACGCCGCTGGCCTGTTGGGCCGGCGAATTCCTAAGGTAGAGTGGGCGACACGAGGACCAATAGAAACTAGATAGTTATTACCACCAATACTACGACTAGTAGTAGTACAAGTACTAATACTACTAGTATTGATACTACTACTACTACTACTACTACTACTACTACTACTACTACTACTACTACTACTACTATTACTACTACTACTACTACTACTACTACTACTACTACTACTACTACTACTACTACTACTACTACTACTACTATACTACTACTACTACTACTACTACTTACTACTACTACTACTACTACTACGACTACTACTACTACTACTACTACTACTACTACTACTACTACTACTACTACGATTACGACTACTACTACCACACCACTACTCTACTACTACTACTACTACTACTACTACCACTACTACTACTACTACTACTACTACTACTACTACTACTGCTGCTGCTGCTACTACTACTACTACTAACTAAAGACTACTAACTACGAACTACTAACTGCTAACTACTAACTACTAACTACTACCACTAACTAGTAACTACTACTGCTACTATAACTATTACTTCTACGACTTTTACTACTACTACTACTACTACTACTACTACTACTACTACTACTACTACGACTTCTTCTACTACTACTTCTACGACTTGTACTACTGCTACTGCTACTACTACTACTACGACTACTACTACTACTACTCTACTACTACTACTACTACTACTACTACTACTACTACTACTACTACTACTACTACTACTACTACTACTACTACTACTACTCCTACTACTCCTACTACTCTACTACTACTACTACTACTACTACTACTACTACTACTACTACTACTACTACTACTACTACTATTACTTGTACTCCTACTATTCTTACTACTGCTACTACTACTACTCCTATTACGACTACTACTACTACTACTACTACTGCTGCTGCTACTACTACTACTACTACTACTACTACTACTACTGCGACTACTGCTACTAGTACGACTACGATCACGATTACTATTACTACTACTACTACTGCTACTACTGCTGCTGCGATTGTTATTTCTACGGCTTCACCTACTACTACTACTACTACTACTACTACTACTACTACTACTACTAGTACGACTACTACTACTACTACTACTACTGCTACTACGACGACTACCACGGTTACGAGTACGACGACTACGACAGCTAATAATTTTTATCACTACTACTACTACTACTACTACTACTACTACTACCACCCTTACTACTACTACTACTACTACTACTACTACTACTACTACTACTACTACGACTACTACTACTACTACTACTACGACTACTGCTGCTGCTACAACTACTGCGACTAATACTAATACTTCTGACATTGCTACTACTACTACGACGACTACTACTACTTTTACTATTACTACTGCTACGACTACTACTACTGGTTCTACTAGTACTACTACTACTACTACTATTACTACTACGAGTACTACTACTACTACTACTACTACTACTACTACTACTACCGCTACTACTACTACAACTGCAACCACGACTACGACTACTACCACTACTACTACTACTACTACTACTACTACTACTACTACTACTACTACTACTACTACTACTACTACTACTACTACTACTACGACTACTACTACTACTACTACTACTACTACTACTACTACTACTACTACTACGACTACGACTACTACTATCAATGTTCCTACTGCTACGACTGCTGCTACTACTTCTTCTACGATGTCGACCTCTACTAACATTGCTACTACTACTACTACTACTACTACGACTACTACTACGACTACTACTACTACCTCTACCTCTACCACCACTACTACTACTACTACTACTACTACTACTACTACTACTACTGACTACTACTACTACTACTACTACGACGCGACTACTGCTACGATGACTACTACTACTACTACTACTACTACTACTACTACTACTACGACTACTACTACTACTACTACTAGACTACTACTACTACTACTACTACTACTACTACTACTACGACTACTACTACTACTACTACTACGACTACTACTTTCTACTACTACTACTACTACTACTACTACTACTACTACCACTACTACTACTACTACTACTACGACTACTATTTCTACTGTTTCTATCGCGAGTACCTTCACGACGACTACTACAATCACTGTTACTACTACTACTACTACTACTACTACTACTGCTGCTACTACTACTACTACTAATACTACTACTACTACTACTACTACTACTACTACTACTACTGCTACTACTACTACTACGACTTTCGCTTCTACTACTACTACTACTACTACTACTACTACTACTACTACTACTACTACTACTACTACCACTACTACTGTTATTACTACTACTGCTACTACTTCTGCTTTCACTACTAAAGATAATAATATTACTACTGGTACGACGGCTGCTCGTACTATTCTTATTCCCACCACTTCTACGACGACTACTACTATTACCACTACTACGACGACTACCTCCACCACTACAATACAATTTCTTCTACTACTACTACTACTACTACTACTACTACTGCTACTACGATTTCGATTTCTACGATTGCTATTTGTACTGCTACTACGACTCACGCTGCTACTGCTACAAACTATGATTACTACTCCTACTGCGACGACTACTGCTACTACTACTTCTACTACTATTACAATATCGACTTGTACAATTACCATTACTATCACTATGACTGATACGCCTACTATTATTACTACGACTAGTACTACGACTACAATGCTACTACTATTACAACTACTACTGCTGCTACTACTACTATTTCTGTTACTACTCTACTACTACTATTACTACTACTACGACTACTGTTCCTATTCCTGCAACCAGTACTGCTACTACTACTACTACTACTACTACTACTACTGCTATTATTGCTGCTGCGGCTGCTGCTACTACTACTACTAGTTCGACCACGACTACGACTACGATTACTAGTATTACGACTACTACTACTACTACTACTACTACTACTACTACTACTACTACTAGTACTACTAGTACTACTAGTACTTCTACTACTACTACTACTACTACTACTACTACTACTACTACTACTACTACTACTACTACTACTACTACTACCTACTACTACTACTACTACTACTACTACTACTACTACTACTACTACTACTACTACTACTACTACTACTACTACTACTACTACTACTACTACTACTACTACTACTACTACTACTACTACTACTACTACTACTCTACTACTACTACTCTACTACGACTACTACTACTACTACTACTACTACTACTACTATACTACTACTACTACTACTACTACTACTACTACTACTACTACTACTACTACTACTACTACTACTACTACTACTACTACTACTACTACTACTACTACTACTACTACTACTACTACTACTACTACTACTACTACTACTACTACTACTACTACTACTACTACTACTACTACTACTACTACTACTACTACTACTACTACTACTACTACTACTACTACTACTACTACTACTACTAC